GTCAGACTGGTGTTGCGGCAAATCGAAGCACTGTGGCGGGACCGCCACGCTGTTTACATCCTGGGGAGAACACTGCATTTGGTTTTAATAAATGTGGTTCTAGTTGCTGTGACTGATTATGTTCATATTTTAAATATTCATTATACATCATGTCATAGATGTACAGATATATTGGTTGAACGATCCTATTAAAAATGGCTGAATGGTGGCCATTTTTGTGCTGAAAAATCATCAAATATCAAGCATTTATGGATGGATTTTGTTCAAACTTTGTACATACGCTAGACTTAAAAGGTTCCTGATGCACGTTATTTTATTTTTTAGATCGGATTCAGAATGGCTGACTAGCCAATTTGTTTTAATGAATGGGCCTCTAGAGCCATATCTCTGACATGCTTTGACTGACTATGTTCAAATTTTATATATTCATATACATGTTTTCACAATGGCTGATTTTGTTTTAATTGTTGCTGTTCCAGAGCAATATCTCTCAATACTCGTTTGACGATCAGATACAAATGTTAATCATTTAAATATTAAACAATCATCATATTCATATTCCTGACGTGTTTATATTCCAGCTATATTACTATAACAGTGTTTCCGTTAGATTTATTTTTCTTGCGTATTTCTATACGCATCCACCATTTTTTTTGCGTACAATGTTGCAAAATATGCATAAAGTCGAAGTAGGTGTGAACAAATGTAAAATCAACAATGTGAACACGTGTCCAAGATATAACTGTTCTAAATTTGTAACATAAACTAAGGTAATTGCTATTTTAAATGTTTTCTGTCCTCGTAATTACTGTTTTATTTCCGTAGCAGTAAAATCTCCACTAGTTATGTTTGTCATTATTAATTTCGTGTATTGTTATTTTCGACGCTGTCGTTGCTGTCTGAAAGATAACATGGCTTCCCTAAAATCACCAAAACTGCAGGCCCTTCCATTGTGATCATCATTAGATCATTTATAACTTCTTCATTGAGAGGGCTTCATCTTGAAGTTTTAATGCGGCTTTGTGGGCTAAAACCATGCTCACAATGAACTGACGATACCGGAATTACAGCTGCAATAACAGCTAGTTTCAATATATTTGGAAACACTTCGTGGTAGTCATTGTACAATAATGTACACACATCAATAAAGCAAAACTGTCTCAATCCGTACAGCATAATTTTGAATTGCTGGTATTCGATACGGAGCTCTTCAAAATTAATTATGGCTTTGTGGATTTCACCATCGTCACCCATGTCACTCCCAAAATGACCACCAAGTGCTTCTATTTCCGGTATTCCGAAGTTCGCTAGCTCATTCCTGTCTTGTGGCCATTTCCTGGGATTGAGCAGGACATCTAATGAAGTTAGAACAGTTCATACGGGCAGCAGAAAAGTTGTAGATCGTGTTTACATCTTTACGATATTCACTGATGTTGACAACACCTTTATCTTGCTTTGTTGCATTGCTGGTCGCTAGAGCAACTCTGTGAGCAACGCAGTGCACCGATGTCAGAAAAGGATTGAGACGTTTTAATCGGGCTGCGACGCCATTTAAACGCCCAGTCATAACACTGATGCCGTCAGATCCAAAGCCCATGACTTAATTGTTAAATTTCAATATGACTGGCAACGAGTGTGTCAATCAACGCATTCATCACTGTTTCAGCATTGCTGCTGTGAATAGTGACATTGCTATGAAAAATTGACTTTGGGTCACCGCTCATCATGATACGCAAATAAACTATCAGATTCTTATCAATAGTGATATTTACAGTTTCATCTGTAAGAAGGCCGATGTAAGGGCTTCGCCTGATTTTTTCTTCGATCTTTCCCGCATATCGTATCTGACAACGCTTTTTGCATTTTGTGGATCGAAACTGAATGAACATAAGGATTACATTTTCGTAATGGATCACTGCCATTCAGTTTCTGCAATTCAAACAAACTGCCCAACTTGGTGGCGGCGATGTCTTCTTTTGCCATGAAATAGACTGTACGCATCACAGATACTTGCCCATCGGTGTCTTTTGACATCGCGTTTTCTATGGACTTGCTTATCACTTTGCGAAAACCCGTACACTTGCAAGACTCCATATGGTCGCTGGTGGCCAAGTGGCGAACTAATGTCAAACGTTGCAAGTCACTGCAACCTTTTTTACAGGTACGGCAAAACATTTTGACGTTCACTTCTGGAGCTGTGACTTGATATAACCAATTGAAGTCACGCATCCATTCTTGGCGAAATTTGTGATGCTTTTTCACATGAACGTCATAAACACCTGCCGTTTTGGCTTTCGGTTGCCCCGAGTTTTCCGGTAGATTTAGCGTTGAAGTTCCTCTTTTCCTTGCTGGCGATGGTGATTGAGTAAAATAACTCACAATATTTTGTCGTTTAGACATAATATAGAATATATAGAGACATATATAAGTATTGCCAGACTCAAAACAGGAATGAAATTATATAAAACAAATAATTATATTTTTAATTGTTAAATTTTATTGGCTGTCATTTCTGGAAATAAGCAATTAGTCACTTTTCAATCATAATTGAACAACATTGTACACTGATGCGTATGACAGCAGTTCGCACCAAGCAATTTGATTGACAAGGAACCAAAACAATGTTGCTATTAGTTGCAACTGACTTGCTTGAAATAAACATTATACATTGTTGCAAGTCAGCGGGAGGGAACTAGCCTGGATGTGTGACATCGTGATTTTGCCCAGCTGTTTTCGATACAACAACACAGCTGAAAACAACGCGTACAGATGGACGCAGCTGTAAAATATTTTGTGTAATGAAGGTTAAAAATGCGTAAAATATGCAAGAATATGCGTTAACTGAAACACTGTATAAACAAAACTATATATCTTAAATTCGATAACTAACTGGGACTGTGCCATGCATGCATGGCTTGTTTTTTACTGCTTTTTTAAACTACTGAATTAGTGGCTTTAGTGAAAAATCTCTTAATCTCTCTCCTACTTTGTTTTGTTTTTACAACTCTTGAACATGAGAAGTAGCCCATGAAAACACCATTTGTTAGTGTCAAATCCTGATTTCAAGTTTTTCAAACCTAAACTCCCTTAATGCATCTGTGTTTCATTGGGGCTAAGTTGTAAGCAGTTTATAAAACCTTGAAAATTGCCACTCAATAACCTTCAAATTATTTCTTTATAATCTACAAAATGATATTCCAAACTTCTGAAACGTGACATTTTTCGTAATATGTTTGAGCTTCTGCTTTATAGCAATAACATAATTGATTCTGTTGATAGATGTCTCTGTCTGCTCCAACAACTCCTGCTACCCCTCAGACAACTCCTCCAGCTTCACAGCAAGCATCACAACCACCACCTCAGAAAACTGTAGAACCAGCTCCAGTGCAAGACAGAAATTTCCAGGTAAGGTCCCAATACTGAACTTATTTAGTTTGCGTGTGTGCATAGCAAAGCAGTAGTAGGTCATGTGATAAAGTGTTAAAATTTCCCTACAAAAATAATTAAACATAGTTTTTTTTGTTTGCAGACTATACAGCAGCTTCAAACTCAGCAAAGAGTTGGCCCTATTCCACAACAGCAGACCACTCCAGTACCACAAACTACTCCACAAAAACCACCATCTCAACAACAGCAGCAGGCTTCACAAAATCAAGTATCACATAACATTGTAACTGGAAAAGGGAAAGGGAAGGGAAAAGGAAAGGGGAAAGGGAAAGTACAAACGCAGCTTCAAGGCAAACCTTTGTCAGTACCAGACCAGAAAGTATTAACTCCAAGGGCAACAACCCCAGGGAAGCATCTACCGCCTCCTAATTCGGGTGCTAATGCCTCAGAATCTTCAATGTCCCAACAGTCTACACCACCTTCTAAAGATATAAAAATGGAAGGAGGAAATGTCCGTGGTACTCTAGGAGGAAAACCAGAACTCCAGATCAAGCACGAGCCTGGTGTTAAACAAGAGTTTCATATCAAGCAAGAACCTGTTGAACTGGGTGGTAAATCTGAAATTACTGGCCCACCGACAACTACTAATACTACAACTACGACCACAACGTTGACAACAGATAGCAACACTAGCAACACAACAACAGCTTCTACATCAACAATGCTTACTCCTAAACCTGGTGCTGAAATGCCACCCCCAAGAGTACCCAAACAAAAGAAAAGTAAGATAATTGCTTTCATATTTGCTGAAGGGATTCAGCATAGCTATTGCTAACTACTGTCTCTTGTATGTTAAAGCTGTTGTAATATTTACTCCTCTGTAGATAACAAATAGAAGGCTAATGTTATACATTGAAAATCTCAAATCTGGATGGATAGATTTGTACAATTCTTAATGATGTATTCATTTTTTTAATTTTGATGATTATTATTTGCCTAATTCATGAAAATTACTCATCTTTATTTTTATTTTTGTGTATGTAGGCTTATATAAGATTTGTTCATTTCATGACTACCGTATTTGTTTTCAATTGGGCACCACTTTGATACACTTTTATTTCATGGTGGTGCTTATTTGTGGTTAAATTTGGATAGCTTTGTTTCAAATGGCGCTTATTTCAAGCACTTCAAGTTCTAGTACAGGTAACTGTGTTTCAAGCCATTGTTCTTGCTTCATTATGGTAATACATTATTGGCAATATCTTACATTACAGTTAGACACTTAGTCACTGTAGCCTTTATTTTAAATATTATGTAAATGACCTGTTTTCAGACAGTTTAGAAAGTTATACAAAAAGTAACATCCTTTAGAAAACATTCACAGTTTGCCGTACCATCAACAGAAAAATGAAACACAAATGCATCACTTAGTAATAAATGATCACGGTAGCGAAATCCGGTCATGCTGCGTTCCACAGTTACGATTATTATCCAGTAGCAGTTATAATAACGTACAAAAAGTAAAATACAACTTATTTTCATCGTAAGTGAATGATTCTGGTCGCATGTAAACGCATGATGCAATACGATATCCGCCATGCTTCCTGTGTAAGAGTTGATTCGAAACGTGTTCTTTTACCTGATAGGTCAAGTCGTTGATTAACTAATCAAAATGATGGATGATGCCAACGTGATCAAATACCCATAGCTCATTTAAATAATGTATGTTAATGTATGAACGCAACACTGAAGAGATTTGCCGATGTTTGCGATCTTTTAGCTTTGATTTTGGTGGGAAAACTGCATGATTTTTTAGCTCCGCTGTCGACTTTGTCGAGCGGAGCTTATCATATGAGTGATTGT